GTAGAGGGATTCTCCAGGTCCCCTGGAGACGTTGGATTCGACATCTCGTATCATCTGCTGGGATGCCTCGGGAATGTGAATTACCTGTGGAGGGTAGGCGGGAGTGCTGGGGACGTAATGGAACAGAAGCTGTGCGTGGACTCTCCTCTGTTGTCGAAAACAACGGTGTAGTCGGTACAAAATAATGGACAAGAAAAAGAGTATAAAAGTCGCGAAGACGGCGGGAATGGCGTCGGACCAGGGCATCCGTAAGTGGATCTATTCTTCGTGCAGCCCGAGGGTTACGACTGACCATACAGTCTGGTAGACGGAGAGGATGGTTAATACGATGAGAATTGCGATAATGAGGCTGATGTCGGTCTCGTAGTTGGAGCCGTTCATCAACAAGATTTCGCTTGTATCGGAGGTGCTTGTTAGTGTTAACAGTACTACTGTTAACAGAGAGGCGAGTCGAAGGAGTAGGGAGAAAGGATTCATTTTTAGAGTCGTAGAAGACCAACGTAGGCCGCTACGAGCAAAGCTGCTAGTAGTAGTGCCAGGATGGTCGCTAGTACAAAAAGAGTAGTCACGAGGACTATAAGGACGACGGTGAGGATTGGGTCGGGCAGCACGAGTGGAAGGATCCAATCGGCTACTAGGAGTATGATGATGAAGAGATAAATGTTGGGCAACGCAAGACGTTGAGCAACGTATGGCGAGCTTCGGCTAAATGTTAACAACCAACTAATAATCGACTTAGATCGAGCTTGGATCACCACTCGCACTTCGGTGGTAGATACTCAAGCAAGTCAAAGGCAATGTCAAAGCAGATCGCGGGCAGATAAACACGAAGGATGGAGTTCGAGTTGGGTAGATTAAACCTTAGCCGAAGCTGGGGTTTAGACCAGCTGAGGCTCTACTTAAATACACGTTTAGTAAACTAATAATAGTACTGTGGGAATGCGTCCGTTGTGATCGCATGAGGGTAATCAAGCTGAGTAATATGAAGAAAAGGAAAAAAGAAATGAATAAACCGTAACATTCATGAGAAAATAGATATTTTTAGAACAGAAGCCTCAATTTCTCAGAATATTATCCATGTCACATATGAAGAATTACTGTAGAACATGAAGATACAATACACATCAGCAATGTAATACAAATTAATGATGAAGGATGAAGGGAGGGAGAGCAAGAGGCTAAGTGTTTCATTGAACCATGGTGTTGCAATGACCGGTAAATAACTGTAGATGTGCCTCGACTTTCCCTTTTTATCATGCTCTGCTTTTGTCTCCGATCGTCAGGAACTATGTCAATAGCATTTCCAATCCAATAGTGGATTCAATTTAGGGGATAGTAGATAGATATGGTGTTTTTTTTTTTGTATAAAATGTGCACTAATGACTCAATCATGACTATATTTAATGCATGTATGAACTAGTGAAAAAAGAACATTTCGAGTGGATTTCCGGAATTTGCCGGACAACCTCTAAATTGACTGCAGCAAGCAATGGATCGCAATTGTACAGTTATGAGGCTCTTCCATCCCTCTAAAATCAAATATATAGTGTCTATTGGCATTTATGTATCATGTATAGCTTAGTTATCCATACATTCTAGCTGATTTGTAGATAAATATGAATTATGGTATCAGTTGCAAGTACTCTGCATCCTTTATCCCATAGTACACATTCAAATGAGAATACAGAGTCAATAAAACCATGGATTTCATCTATTCTGAGTAGTATATGTCTGAAAATGTACCTGCCCTGAAGCCGTGATACAATTTTATTTTGGTCAGATGAAAGTGCACTGAGGGCGGATTTCTAACAGTTCTTCTAAGCAATGAAGTGAGTAACGATGTTTCTACGAAAAGATCACCATGGATCGGACACTTTGTTTGGATAGTATACTACATAATCTCGCATATGCAGCCCATCATATTCTTTTCTATGGTGTATAGAACAGCATACAATGAGTATATGCTAAATGAACCAAAATGCGGTTTTTCAACTGTAAAATGCATATTAATCAATGCTGGGATTTATTTAATATATAGGAAAGTATATAAATATACTGTATAATACAATAGCATTACATTCCGATGATTCTCGGGCATTCGGGATGCAGGAATGGAGCAGAGGATGCATCCCCGGTATTCATTCCACTCGCTCAATCGCTCCGGTCCATGAAACTGCAGAGTGATCGAGTGGCTGTGCCACTTCTTTTTCCGCTTCTTTCCCTCACCATATGCGGGACAACGATGGCGGTGGCGGCCAGGGAGGTAACAGCAACGGCGTGAGGGTGGAGGTCTTTAGAAGCATAGTCACAAAAAATGGCAGCCAAGGGATGGAGGGGGATAAAGTGTATTGGAGAGGTGCAGAAGGGCAGGAGGGTGCGAGGGAGGTCGGGATGTGGATGGCGGGTGATGACAATGGAAAGCACGTCTTTTTGGCCATTGAAAGGGTACCTGAGACCATAACAGACGTGCCTGAATTCATGGTTGCACGATCACGGAAGCCCCTGCCGATCGACATGGTAGCCGCCGTATGCCCGCTCCCTATCCCGGCACCTGATGTTTCTTGCTTGTATCAGCCACTACGGCAATGCAATGATCCCCTTTTTTGGCCATGCCTCCCGATCACCGCCGTCAATATCGCCTGCCCACCGGTGCCATATTTTATCTACATATCGAATGACTAAATATATTCCTTTACTCTATGTATCTACTTGTAATATTATTTTTATATGAACCATGGGATGGGATCAGATTTTGCGAAAGGGAACGGGAAGCACGGGAAAAAGTAATCAAGAGACGATGCACGTGGGTCCTATCACCGGCTGTGACTAGAAAGGCAGCCCTATAGTTACTGGAGAAAATGTATTTTCAGTTCCACTATAACTACTGGAGAAAATACACTTTTCTGACAGGACAGGTTGACAGACCGCAGACATTCTGGGGAGAGGGTAAGTAAAGGAGCATGGGTGGAGGTGACTAGAGTCTACCTGGTCTAGCAGGATGGAAGCAGGAGGGGTGAAGCATGGACAGTGACAGTGCTGGACGTTGTCAATGACTTGAGTGCACTGTCCTCGGGAGGGTAAGGCTGCTACAGGTGAGAGTGACATTGGACTACTAGTGAAGGGGATGTATGCTGAGGATGCGATGGTACTTGGGGTTCATCTTGACGCATTTTTAAAGAAAGGAGTACAATCGGCTGCAAAAAAGAGTCCGGGAATATAATATCAGAAGGATCTGACCTGCCTCTTTGGGACGCGCGGTCAGCTAGCAGCGTGCCTTACCTGACTGCCGACCTTCGAAACTCTCACACAACTCACACAACTCTCACAGTCCTTTGGCATCTTGCTTCTTGATCCGACTCCTTTGGCATTCTTGCTTCTTGATGTAAGAAGCAAACACATTACATCAAGAAGCAAGAATGCCAAAGGACTGTGAGAGTTGTGTGAGTTGTGTGAGAGTTTCGAAGGTCGGCAGTCAGGTAAGGCATGCTGCTAGCTGACCGCGCGTCCCAAAGAGGCAGGTCAGTTGTGAGCCACCAATCCCTCAGATCCTAGATTCACGATGCATGTTTTCACCCATCTTGGGCACCCTCACAGTGCCTCTTGGCCAAGACCTATCTGAGCCAGCTGTTTACTATTGATACATTCGTCCAATCCACCGCGACTGCCCCTCGCCTTATCACTAGTACTGCATACAGTGATACAAGGCCTTAGCCCACAGACTTCAGGCAGGAACCCTACTTCTGGAGCTGCAGGCCTGATAACAACTATTAACAGACGAATTATCGAGGCTTTGATCACGGCAAAGGGAATTGGAAGAGGAAAAGGGTGAGAAGATCAGCCGGCAGGCGCCGTAGTACGCATCTTTAGATGCCCTGACTCTCTATCCTTCACACTGTCACCCATTTCTTCGCCACTGTTGTCTTATACCCTTGGAATACTCTAGAGACGGTCTTCCGTCGCCTACAGCCCACTACCCTGTTCCCGCTCCCATTTTTATCACTCCCGAACACCAGCACCAACATCAACACCGATATTCCCTCCGAGTATACCAGGAGTTCCATGCATTATCCATCTTTATTACCAAACACCACGGGTTCCGCAATGACTCATCCAACGTTTTTCTTTTACGGGGAGGTTTTTCCTGGCTGGAGATGACGCGCCGTGAGCCTGACAGCGGGGTGGTACGTACACCTACTAACATATCAATTCTGAGCTCTGACTATTCTCTTAGAATGATGGCGGTCGTCAAAGCCGATGAATCAGCGATAATGAAGTATCGCGGATTGGATGCGAGGCCAATTTTGGAGCTAGCATTGGACGCGGATGTTGGTGCTACCTTTTCACATACGAAGTCAGGGAACGCATTCTCAGGACGAGCGAGGCGGAAAGATAGACAAGGAACAAAATCCATCGATGATAGTTTCCTGCCCTTGCGCGTGCAACTCTCCACTGTACATCCAAATTGTTGACTCAAACCATCTTCCTCCGCCGCTTGTAATTGGGATATAGTAAACCTGCTATTCCGACAGAGCGTTAGTCAAACTGACTTGGTGTTCGCTGCTAAACAGGAGCATCGACATCGATTGGCGACTATCTTACTATTTTGCCTGTTTCTTGCCTGCTCCCTATTTTGTTGCACCTTACGAGTTGGCTCGCTTAACTTGGAACTTCGTATTCGTTAAACACTGGGAATACCCTGCCGGCCGCTGTAGTCTCTTTCGGGTACCATTGTCTACCCCACTCCATGTTGATATCATTTCCATCGCTTAACATTTGGTATACGTACTGGCAGAATCCAGAACTATTGTCTGCACCCATAGTGTTCGCTGCACTAACATTTACATTCCAAAACATTTACACATGTCAAAAACCAATGGATAACAGCTAAGCAATAAGCGTAAACTACAAAGCAAAAGAATTGATGCCGAATTGAAAATTTATCTCACAGTACTGGTTACATATACAACAAAGATAGAAATGTAGAGACTGGAAACTAAGGCATTTAACTGGTAAAGAAAGAGTCGAGCGGAGAGAACATAAGAATGAGATTTTTTGGATGATCATTGATGGATAGGTGTAAGTGAGTTGAAGACGCCGAAAATTTGGAGGATGAAAGGAAGCGTCAAGATGCTGTCGCAGCTATGAACTAAGTGTGTGGACCTGACCAGTCCTCGGGCATCGGACCGTAGATCACATTCTGGTCATACAAGTTTTCATCCGTCGCGCTGCCATCTAACTGAAAAGCATAGGAGTTGTTCATGAAATGGTCCGGGAATTGAACGAAGTAATCGTCTGAGCCATAAGCCTGGGTCTGAACGATATAAGATTGATTGCTGGATGAGCTACTTCTAGCAGAAGGTGAAGAGATGGACGTAGAAGTGAGGGGAATGTTCCCCGCGTCACGGGAAGGGCTGAATGCGTGGTTGGGACTGGGAGAGAGAACAGGCGCAGCATTGATTGGCATGAGGTTCGTGTCGTGAAAAAAGGTGTCGGTGTGGGAACTGGCGGATGGAAAGAGCACGGAGTTTGGCGTGAACGGCACATTGATGGCGTTGTTGTAAAAGCTGGTCGCGTTGACACCAGAAGAAGGGCCATTGTTGTCCGTGAAGTAGTCCAAAATGGCCCATGGTTCTGCAGAACGATACGGGTTATCGATAGCGATGTGGTCGCAAAGCTGAGCTTCACACGTGCAACGCTGAGTCAGAGGCGTCTATAAGACAAGCTGCATGAGCTCAAGACACCATGGAGAGTAGGGAGGAGCATACCTTTTGGACATACGCCGCACACTGAGTCGCGGGATGATGATTGACGACCATCGAAACGTAGTCGACATGGGAATGAATACCGTGTCCACACAGACCGCAGATATTCTGGGAAGAGAGTAAGCAAATGAGTACGGGTGGAGGTGACTAGAGTCTACCTCGTCTAGCAGGATGGAAGCAGGAGGAATGAAGCATGGACACTGGCAGCGTTGGATGTTGTCAATGACCTGGGTGCACTGTCTACGGGATGGTAACGCCACTGAAGACATTGGACAAGTGCTGTTGCTGAGGGAGATGACAGAGGATGCGATGGCAATTGAGATTCATCTTGCGCATTTTAAGGTCCTAGTGAAGTCCATTCAGGGCTATATGCCGCGACCAGGTTCATCTCAGCGACTGCCATACGCACGGGATTTTCGAAATCTAATTGCTCGATTCATGCGCGTGAAACCCAGATATAAGTATCCCACCACGTAAGCGTGTCCTGATTATGGCATCAAAACGAGGTAGATTAGGTGCAAGGTGGTGCGGAACGGTAGTACAGGCTAGTACAGGTGGTGTGGACGACCTGGACGACTGTCACTCGTCACGCGTCACCTTTTGAATTCCTGCCTGCCCTGCCACGCCCACACACGTGACACATCACCTTGAATTTGCTCAGAATTTATCACCTGGGGATTTTGAAGGCGGGGCTTGGAACAGATGGACTAGTCACGTCGTGGAGACGAGTAGAGAACGGTATCTCTGCCCTCGCCTACACTCCTTGGTCTTCAGTCCCGTCCTCACGGTTTCCATGGAATATACTAGAGACGGCGTCCTCCTAGTTCATCGCTGTCGCTTAGGATGTCTTTCGGCTGACTATAATCACGTCTCTTCGGTCACGCCAGGAAATCCTGGAATTATCCCTCTCCTGCTGGGGCGCAATGGGTGACCCCGACCCCTAATGGCTCTTCTATGATGGGAGTATTTCCCCCGACTGATCCCGCCAATTTTGGCTCATTCACTATTCACCATTCACTATTCACGAGGTCTGGGGATCCCCCCCCCCACATACCGTTGGGTCGTCCTCGATGACTGAGACGGCGCCGTTGAGTGGTCAACGTATGTTTCCTCTATTACCTTAATTCTCAGTCCTTTCAAGTTCCATACTTCACATAATGGCAATCTGACTGTCATTAGACCAAGAACGCCGCACCTTGATGTCCGATATCCTCGAGCGATACTAGAGTCACGATTTGGATACAACGCCAAACTTGGAGCTCGAACACGTCGGCGGTGTTGAATGCAGATGTATGCTACTTTTTAGTGCATTATAATATAACTCGAGTAACACGTCCTCAGGATTGGCGAAGCACAAGAGGAAGAAAACACAATCGGCAACGGCAACTACTTACCGCCCCTCATGTCCGCACCCGACTCTCTCAACTACACCATCTCTCTCTACTGGTGGGTATCTGTTTCTCCTGCCTGCTCGCAAAGACTCGTTATCTTCGTCTCTCAGCGATGAACGGGATGAACGTAAACTTGTCACAAATACAGCGTGACGTCATCCTGCAGGATCAATAACTCCCCTTCTAATTTCCCTACTATCCTCCAGGGACAGGGTCTGACGATTTTGCTGAGAGACGGTCCATAGGAAAGGCAGAAAGGATAAGTGCTTGATGGCGCGGAATTACCGCTCGCTCGGTGAATTCGATAACATGGATGTATACCCTCCCTCCTTATTCCCTGCGCGGCTGTCTCTCCATCGATCGCTTTTCGACAAACTCTCAAACGTCAGCGACTTCTTCTGAAGACGCAGCAGCTGTTTTACGGTTGGCCTAGTAGTTCTTTCTCGCCGGTGTGTTTATATTGACTGTTTCCTTTCTTCTGGTAATGATTGTGTAATTGTTATGACGCACTCTTCCCACTAGGCGCTTATTATAAAGACATTGTCGAGGCCAATTCTCAACAGGCACTACAGAGCACGAGGTCGCTGACAGTAGCAATGTCTACGGTTCATCTCTCTCTTGTCGAATATGGTAGGCTTTCGTTGGACTGTGCTGCCTGTTTATTAACCGCCACGATATCAATAGCACTTGTACAGTTCGCTTTAGATGTAAGAACGTACCTGTGCAGCCCAGCGGGACCCTGGTTGAAATTCTCGCACCATGATTCCATTACGTTTACCTACACTGCTTCTCTACAGCTTGAAATCATCTGCGGGTGCTATCCAAAACATCGAGAGTCTTTATGATGTCAACCTGGCCGGCGCTTCCGGATCTCACGCTGTTTACTTTGCCGCCTGTTTTCTCACTTTCTCTCAATTTATCCACTGATCATTACTCAAGCGCTCTGGCAGATTCTGATTGTTCTCGTGATATCAAACCCCTGGACAGTCTATCACGACTCAGATGGTGGTGTGACGATCTTGGAACGGGAGCCTCGAAGTATCACCATCCAAATGCGACGTCACTACAACATGACTCTCGAAGTCTAGGTGGGCTCATACACCGAGTCTCTGGAAACGCCTTCTCGATGTCAGGCATCTGTTTTCTCCTTTTGTTACCGTTTACCGGGATTGCATACTCTACGTCTTTGGTATCGATTCCATCACTTTGGTCTACAATATCTGTACTCACATATCGCTTTGAACTGTTGTTTTCCATCTCTGTCGTTTTCGGGATTGACATATGGAGGATCAGAGAAATACATAAGCGCCATGGAACAAGCGCGCCCATCAATTCGCTGTACAGCAGGCTGAATGCATAAGAAGGGCCGTTACTGTCCGTGAAATGGTCCAAAACGGTCCAGGATCCAAAACTCGATCGCGTATCAGTTGCTCGTCCCTGACTTGTCCTAAATAAGCGATTGACGCGCTTTCATGGACAACACTGCCACAGATCAGTGTAGTTTTTTGGCAGAACGCCCAATGGCACATCAGCTCAGACTGTACCACCTACTGATTTCAGGAAGGACGCCTGATCCCAACAAATAGGGACAGAAATACATCTACCTCACGACGAGATGTCTCCTTGCGAACATGGTCGGTCCTCGCATCATTTCTTTAGCACCCCCAGATTCCTTCTACGGACATCCGTTGTTAAATTAATTCTGTCGCTTTGGTCTATGTTACGGAAGCGTGATAGTAACTTATCACGATATGATCGCTATGAAGGCTACTTGGATTATTTATTGATCGCAACAAGTAGTAATGCAAGAACAAAATTTAAATTATAAATGTAACAGACATGGATCATGAGCCAAAGTCAATCTTGACAAAATTGGTGGAAATACAACAAAGAAGGCAAAAAAAATGAAACATAATGACTGAAGATTGATCCATAGACGACATATATATGAGTCCGAGTAATTCAAAGTCTGGGATCTTCATGATTAGCAAGCAATCCGATGTACGGTACTAGAAGTAAACAAACAGTACTCGGTGTGGTGAAAGCCAAGTGTTCAAAACACTCAAACACAACTCTAATAACTACAGATAGCTACCTCTTGTCCTTTTTTAATATCAATGCACTGATTTTTATCATGTCGTCGTGTCAGGTTGACGAGAGCTTCATGATAAATATAGATATGGCTGTGGTCCTGCCATAGACCTCAAATATTGGAGACTCGATGTCTTTGAGTCCTTTGGCTGGACTTAGTCATGTTGACTCGTCGGTCTTCATATGCGTCTGGAAGGATTCGGGAGGCAACCTGAGTATTCTCCATTTGCGGTAATGCAAAAGCATATGAGGGTCTGGATGTGATGCAGACAATCGTCTCTCCACCGCGACCATCTTCCCCTCAGTAAGTCCTTGGTAGGGTGGTCAGAAGAAGCGATACTAACATCAAGAACACAAATCAGGCAAATCAATGGAAGAACTGGTCCAGTTCGAGATCCGAGAAGCTAAACAAGTCATGGCCCGTGCTTCTTTAGGCTTCTTTTCGTTCGCAGCGAATTTGAAAATGCCAAGCGGTGAATGCCTTTTCGAGTGGATTTGCTTCCGTAGATGGTTCCTGGTTGTTCCTGGGCACAATCTTAGATTGGATCTAGATACCTCCGGGTGTATATATGTGATACAAAAATAGCTCAGAAAAGCTATCGAGCATGGATTATCATAGAGGCCATCTGTCGGGCGGATGAAGAAAAGATTATGGGTGTGCACTATTTTCCAAAGACGAGATTGGAAGGATAGAAGTTCCTGTCCTGCGCGCTCTCGTCGTATTGAGTCAATTCTCTGCTTCGTTGCAAAACGATCTGTAGACGAATTGAGCGTAGTACTAAGAGAGTTTGATTCAGGCTGGAGTTCAAGTAAGTCAATGTTGTTCCTCGCCAATAAGAAACCTGGGTTCGATGACAAGTGTACGCTCTCCTCTTATTGATGTGCAGTTCTGGTTCTTATAAACGTTACAGTATCTAGAAACCGAGGGAGATTCGATAAAATATAAATACAGATGATAAGAAACTATTGATACAACAAGAACGGAAGTGTCCAATCACAAACACAGAATCTAACAAGACGTAGCAGGACTAAAATCAAATTTGACATTTCCGTTGTCATCATAAATGCCATATCCCGGTTCTTGTGCATCAGAATAGATGTGCGCGAACCATCCGACGCCACCACCCTGAACTGCTTTGAAGTAAGAGCACATCGAATCGAGAAGCTTATAATAATCCTGGGACGTGAACATGAGAAACAATTTGTATATGGGCAGCAGAACTGAACTGACCAATTCATTTTGAACATCAGCTACTGCATTAGGGCTGTTAGGTTGTACACCTTCGGACGTGACCGATGGCCAGCCGTTCTGGAAATCGTAAAGAAACGGATCAGTGACCGTGGTAAATGGCCAAGGAACCGAGACTGACCTCGGACAGGTAGATTTTCTTTCCTTCACCATTATTAACGAACCTATTCAGCATAAGACCTGGATTTCTCTATGAAAAATCTCAAAACTTACCAGTTCAAGTCGTTCAGAACGATAGGCCAGGACGCGCTCGCTAGAGAATGATGCGTGAGAAGTGATCAAAACACGTCAATCAGACTTACCAGTCGAAGCTTGCTGGGAAAAGAAAGGCAGCATGTGTGCATCAATTAAATCAATGGCGTTAAGAACGTCCTTCGCGCCGCCGCGTTCCTAGAAGAAGTTAGTGGTGATCAAAATGAATATGGCATCGCTCGGACCTGATATCCGTACCTAGATATACAAGCTTTTTAATGAGACGAGGTTTATAAAGAGCAGAAAATTCGAGCAACTCACGCCATGTCCGAGACAGTAACAGGTATACCCAAGCTCGATAGATTGTTTTTGGCAGCCAACACCTGAGCAGCGAGATCCTCCTCTGAAAGAACATTATCATAGAGGGGCTCCGAGCCAAACTGGACCGCTCGCGTGACGAACTTGGCCTTGGGATTCGCGTGTAGCGTTGCAAAGAGAGTGTCACGACGAGCTTCCCAAATGTTGTCACCGTCAAATCCGAACTGGTAGGCATGCGTAAGCTTATATATAGATATCAGGCAAGTATACGTACCCAGATAAGAGCGTGTACACCTAGGCCAGCTCCCCAGGCTGCAGTTATAACATCGTCGCTACGCGTCAAATTAGTGCGTCTCGGACAAAAAGAGCAGGAAATTCTCGTACTAGAACCCATCCCTATCGCAAGCCCCATACATGCGGACATAGCGACCATTGAACCTTTGTCGAATGTCCGTGAACTCAGTTTGAAGCTGGTTCAAGTCTTGACCTGCAAACGATATTAGCAGAGAACGTTATATGACGAGAGGCACCGACACACAAGCCGTAACCTCATAGCTGAATCCAACGAATGCGTATTCTGTGTTCATGTCGCACCACCAGTCGTCTGTCGTGGATGGTGGTGTCGCAGGCATGTTGAATCCTATCGCAGGGAAACAATTTGGTGGTTGAGTAGCGGCCAAAGCCAGGGAGAGGGGAAGCATGAGGACAAAGATTAGCGCAATCATGGCAGAGGTAGGGAATAGGATCCATGCCACCATGGAAGTATATATACTTCCGTGGAGGTACTGTTAAACATGGCTCCTATACTTGAGGGGCTACATCTAAAATAGCATAAACATCCAAAAATAAAGGTTTGACACAGTGGGAATCACCTGCATGTTCCCATCCCACATCTGCGTATAGCTCCTACTTCTGGGCTACAACACCAACACCTGCCATCACGGGCGGTAAAAAAATATTGTAGATCGAACCGCACACGAATCCTCGACGGTCAAGACAACTAAAACTCCCCATCAGCTTTCTCAATATCCTTGCCATGGATATTGAAACAATTCATTCCATAGTCCACCAAGTCCATCGATTCCCTAAACTCCATAACTGGGACAGGAGAACAGGCTGAGAAGAAGGAAATGAAATGTCTCGACTGGAGACAGAATCAACAAACTGAGGGATTGAACCAGGATCGGTATACTGACTGGCACAGGAAGAATCGAGCCGGGAGAGATGGGAATGAGAATACGCTACGCATAGAATTTATCGGATGGTCTTAACAAAACATAGCAGGCGGATGGGTAGATGACTTGGAGTGGGTGCGCCGAAGAATCGGAAATGAAAGCAAACGCTGGACTGAGTGTACCGGTCCGACCTGGCCTCGGTCGTCGCACCGTACATCATATCTAGGGGACAATATGATACTCGAAAATATCGTCGGTTGCGCCGCCGTCTGGCTGACAGGCGTAGGGATTGTCCACGAAATCGCCCAGGTATTGGACAGAGTAATCGTCTAAGCTTCTAATTCATCTCTGATGAAATACCCGATTGGGTGCTACTGGCCGAAGGAGGTCATGAACGGGAGTAAGTTGAGTGATGCCCGCATCACCAGAAGGGTCTAATACACGCGGGGACCGGGGGGCCAAATAGGCGCGGCAGTGATTGGACGAGGTTCGCGTCATGAGATAAGGTGATAGCGTTGGAATTTCTAGACGAAAAGATCATCAAGTACGGGGTGAATGGATTGCTCAAGGCGTCGTTTGCACGGCAGGTCGCGTAGATATCGGAAGAAAGAACACTGTTGTCTGGAAAATGATCCAAAGCTCTGCAGAAACATGTGGGTTGTCGATAGCGACATGACCGGTGATCTGTGAGGGCAAAGCCAAGTTCTACACGTACAACATTGTCAGATGCGTCTATAAGTAACGTCGGCTGCATGAGCACAAGCGACTGTGCGCAGCGGGAGCATACCTTTTGTACACACGCTGCACATTGAGTCGGCGAGTAATGGCCCGCAACCAATACGTAATCGACATCATGTCCGTACCGACTGCAGATGTTCCGAGAGAATGGGACCGCGACACTGAAGGCGAATGAAAACCTACAGGATCTAGTAGGTCGACACGAACATGGACACTGCCAGCACAGGATGTTGTCAATGACCTGGGTGCACTTTGCTTTGGGTGGTATTCCCGCTGAAAACACGACCGCGTACAGGGTTTGAACGTGACAGCGAAGAGGGCAGTGCCATTTCATGGCCTCATATGTATGGAAAAGATCAGTGATCCGAGGGGTGCAGTGCTATCTGTCTCTAGGAAGCCTCATAGAGGTGGCAAAGTTGAGAGAAATGGTACGAAGGCTCGGCAGACTGTGAGAGCGGATCGTATTGACTAATTCAAATTGACCCGACATTAGATATCAGGTGACCCGGCAAAGTGCTTCCGGATACCAGCGGTCCGCGGATACCCATGCTCCATTTTACATAGGAGCAATCCAGCGTCTGTTACATACTGGCTATTATCAGTATTGGTACCAGACATAGCGGATCAGCGAAGCCCTCGAATGAGGTCGCCTTTCCTGCATGCGACGTTACGCGTTACCCTTCTCCCTACTCTCACGATGCGTCAACAATGCCTGTTAGCACCACGACCTTCATATCTGTTCCCTCAAAGCTTGCGTATCAGCGCTGACGGACACGCGGAACACCCCGAACAACACCGAAGATGCAGGGAGAGACTATCACCCACTGTCTCATGATGCGTCAACAATGACCGCCTCCACGATAATCTTCATATTCGTTCCCTCATCACCCCGCGAACTAGCCGCCTGCGTATCGGCGTTGAGCGCCACCGCCGAAACGACCCGAAGATGCAGGGAGAGGTTATCGGGCGCCATCTAGAAGTACACGAGCGTGCGGGCGGGAAGAAGGTCAGGTCGCCGAGCATCAACGACTTATAAACAGACTGACACGCCTATTTAGGTGTCAATTATGCGCGACACACATTCAAACTCAATATAGTTATATATGAACCGTGCGACCGCAAATAATCTAACTGGGGCAGTCATTTCCCCTTGCCAGCCTCTCTTGGTGCTTTGCCGGTATCCTTCAGTATCACTCTCCGCTGCCATCCGCGCTAATGCATTAGCCTCCATCTCCATTACAGGGCAACGCAACAGCATTCTCAAGGTACCCTTCTCATGTTACACTACTAGGTGCTAATCCTATTGTCGTCCCATGCATCTCGATTCTCCCATTGCGCGACATGGCACGTCACTTGCTCGCCTTTACCCGCCCTCGCTCAGTGGGTTCTGCAGAGGACCTCACCGTGCTGTAGTCTATATTTACACCTGTTCAAGGCTGGGGACGTTTACAAGCTCTTGTCGCGAAAGCTTAACGGTGCCATCAGGACACTCCTTACTCGGTCTCATGGCGGAAAACGATCTGCACTTCAGTGGACATCGTCTGCCATCCTGCACGGGCAAGACCACAAGAGCACAGAATGTCTTGGGCACGTGGATCATCGAAGGTGTGGTGTCTTCCGACCCTCGTTTGATACCTTCTGACATTTCCATAGATTTCACGCGGACTGTATCTAATTATCTTGTCGCCCATTCGCTTCAGAATGCCAATTGTATCTAATGTGATCTTCATGATCCCGACCGTACATTCAATGCGGAACGTTTCTTGCTTGTCAAGGTCGTTCTCGTGAAATACAATTTGGACTTCCGTGTTTCCTTCGCTCGATAATACAAACCTCTGCATGACTTCGTTCTCCTCGCTATGAGGATTCCCGGCTAGTATTACATAGACCGTGGATCACAAACAGGCGCAGACGAATCGCATTCGGGCGTGGAACACCATATCCTGTGCGTTTCTATCCTTGTACTGCTATTTATTTCGACTGATGTTAGATCCCAAAAGGTTGAACAAAGCCGCCCGCCTGTGATGGTTAAGCACACGTAACCCCTACTTTGATGATGGCTCGATGATCGACGTTCCCTGGAAGCTGATAGGTAGAAGTTCATCAGGCACCTAGCTTTCAGGTTTTCAAATCTCCAGACGCTACTCAATTTGTGCAATCCGAAACCCCGCTCCACACAGGATGGCTCGCTCATCTCCTACCCGGATGAAAGTTCAGAACTCATATACTGTGAAGAACTCGGAAGGCAGGAACTCAGTGGATTGAGTATGAGCCGGATTAAGTATTCGCGCGATGAGGTCGTCTGAAATCTCACTTACTTCTTGGACAGCCAATTCCCCAGCAGTATATAATACGCCGGCTTCCTCCAAATGGCATACCAGTTACTCCATTACAGAGGACAGTACACCCAGGTCAGTGATACCCAACGCTGTCAGTGTCCGTGCTTCGCTCCTCCCTGCGCGGCGGTCTTGTACCTCCAGGTAAGAACACCCATCAAGCTCTTTATCCCCCCTCCCTAACTATACTATCATAGTTCGAGTGTGCCACATGCAACCACGACGTCCACTCACACGCCGATAAAGTGTCAATAGTCGTGTGCTCCTGCCTGCCAACAGGGTGTGCATCATTTGCCCAAGCGGTATGCTTCTGTTTCTGTTTTCTTCCGAGTCCATTCGCGTTTGACTTCTGGATAGACGTATACGAGTGAGGGATGTACGTGTTCGATACATCTTATTGTTGGTCCAAATCCGTATCGCCCCAGTGCTGCGAACCTACATGGCGCTTATATGGAGAACTATTAATAGAAGAGCACTTGGGTGCCATTATGATTGATAAGCGCATTCATCGATTCACTGCACAAGCAAGCCGACTACCGGAGTCCATTTTACGGGAACGATGATGGGTAGGTATCACGGTTTCATCATATATTATCTAAAATGAGGGCGAGAGCCACCGGGATCAAGAAGAAACTGGCGTTTGAATCCCAGACTCATCGGAGCCGACCCTATAGCCCTCAGATGGTGACACAAACAAAAAGCAATTCGATTATAAAATGTTAAAGATAGTAACCAGAAGTAAAAAATGTAATGGGAATCGTAGGCCAAAGCAAACAAATTGATAATCCTGAAAGATTTGGCGAGAAGGAAATGAAATGTAGCGACTAAAGATAGCAATCAATGAACGCAGGAATGTAAACAGCATTGCGATAACGATTGGTAAAGGAAGAATCAAGTCGAGAGAAAATAGAAATGAGAATATATTGCGTGTGCAGGTAGTCGTCGACAGCTAGATAGAAGTTAGCAAGGGGATGAGTAGATAGATTCAGAATGGGTGCGCGAGGATCTGGAAGTTTGAGACGCCGTCGTGGTCATGGATTAAGTGTCCGGGCCCGATCTAGCATCAGGCGTCGCACCGTACATCGCATTTGGCGAATAATACTGATACTCGAAACTCTCGCCTGTCGCACCACCCTCTGGCTGATGAGCATAGGGATTGTCCATGGAATGGCCTGGGTATTGAATGAAGTAATGGTCTGGGCTATAACCTTGGACCTGGGCGACATCCGATTGAATACCGGATGGGGTGTGACTGGCCAAAGGAGAGGTCATGTATGGGACGACTGGGATATTGCCCGCATTGTAAGGGCTAAACGCATGACGGGGACTGGGGGAGAAAGTAGGCGGGGCAGTGATCGGGGTGAGGTTCGCGTCGTGAGAAAAGGGGTCGGTATAGGAATTGACGAACGGTGTAAGTGTACTGTTGACGACGTCGTTGGAAAGGCCGATCGCGTCGACACTATGAGAAGCTTCATTATTTCCCGGGAAATTGTCCAACACATTCCACGGCTCCGCAATACGATACGGGTTATCGGCAACGGCGTGATCGCAAAGCTGAGCTTCACACGTGCAACGCTGGACAAGAGGTGTCTATAATGTATGCGGCATGAATTCAAGCTACCATGCACAGTAGGGAGGAGCATACCTTTTGGACATAAGCGGCGCATTGAGTCGGGGGATAATGATTCACGACCATCGAAACGTAGTCGACATGGGCGTGAATACCGTGTGCACACTGACCGCAGATGTTCTAGGAGAAAGTGAGAACGCGGGTATGAACGCAGATGAATGAGGTTCTAGCAGGGTCGGCACAAAGCATGAACACTGACAGCGCTGGACGTTGTCAGTGATATGGATGCATTGTGCTCGGGATGGTAAGAGTGCTGAAGACATTGGTGATTCGACGAGATTTGCGATGGAAATCGAGGTTCATATTGGTACACTTTATATGATGGACTAAGTAGATGCAGATGTCAATAAGCGTGTCAGATATACCTAATTGGGCAGAAGCGTGGGACTATCGTAACGCTGATTCAACGTCCATGGTTGCCGAGTGGCTGTCGGGGGTCATTCCGGCAACCATGGACGTTGAATCAGCGTTACGATAGTCCCACGCTTCTGCCCAATTAGGTATATCTGACACGCTTATTGACATCTGCATCTACTTAGTATTACGATTTTTACTTTTCAAGGTTGCTGTTTGAAACGTTTTATAATCAAATTGCTTTGGTGTTTATATGATTATTATCTGAGTGAGCGTCTGACGCGTCCAATAATTCTGGGAATTCATGCGCCATGTTTTCTTCAAGTTCTTACTCCGAGTGGCCCTAATTTTAGATTGTTGGGATTTGCAACTTCAAGCTTATGCCAGAAGATTCCCGAAGCTTCGGCTTACTCATTTGTCACGATACTTAGATATATTTAGTTACTTTGGTAGAATATTCTAGATACTTTTCGTAGTATATAAGGAGCTCATTAGGAGCTCTAGTAGCAAATAATTTAGTATTATACCTACTGCAAGCCTCCCACTGCAATAATTCCAACAGGTTATGGGCCCCGAGCTCCAGTAGAAGTCTCATCTTCCACACGCATTCTCTTTCGGACCACCCGAGCCGGCTTTCTAGCCACACGTCAATCACCATCAGTCCTCTTTAGGCAGGTGTAATTAAAAGTCCTCTCTAGGCCACTGTAAATCCTCTCTAGGTTGGTGCTCGAAGTCCTTTCTAGGCCGTCGTAAATCCTCTCTAGGTAGACGAAGTTGTTAAAAGTCGTTTCTACGCCGCCGTAAATCGTTTCTACGTAGGTGAAATCATTGTATTAGTCGCTGTAAACCCTTTCTAGGTTAGCACCCCATTCCCGAAGTCCTTTTTAGGCACCGTATACTCGCCTTTTCAGGCACATTACATACTCTCGTTACATACCACTTTGATACCTCCAGTTATGGAAGACCGGAGTAGCACCCGATTTGATCTCCTGAGTGAAGAGAATTACTTCACATGGAAGTACCGCATGGAAATGCACTTAATTCGGAAGGATTTGTGGGGAATAGTTTCAGGTACAGAACCCCGCCCCGCAAGTGGAACAAGGACACAGACTGTCTGGGACAAGCGCGCGAGGCTTGCCGCTGCCGAGATCATTCTGCATGTGTCTGATTCTGTGTTACCGCTAACCCGGAAGACCACGGACCCTGCCCGAATGTGGCAAATTCTGAAGGAATATTATGAATCCTCAGGATGGGCCAATCGTATGACCGTTCTTCGTAGTTTTGTTTCTCTCAGAATGGAAGAGGGAGCATCTGTGCAGGAGCACATCAATAATTTCAATGAACTTGACCAGTCCCTCAAGGATATTGGAATTACATTGGTAGACATACTTAGGATGACTATTCTATTGGCATCCTTACCCCCTACCTACGAGAACATCGTTACCGCCATCGAATCTTACATCGAGGCCAATACTGATCCCAGCGATCCGACGCGAGGTCCAGACTTCGATTATGTCACTCGTCGATTGCTAAATGAAGAGCGCCGCCGGAAACTCAATTCACCGGAATTTGAAATGGCGTTAGCCGCGCGATCAATCAAGGGCCGACCTCCCGATCCGGCTAATATCATTTGCTACGGTTGTGGGCAGAAAGGCCACTACAGAAACAAGTGCCCAAATATTGCTCAAGGGGGAGAAGATCCAACAAGAGCAAATGTAGCTGATGAAGATGATGAAGAAGATTATGCATTTTAGTAACTTGAAGTTGAGGGGGAGTGTTGGGATTTGCAACTTCAAGCTTATGCCAGAAGATTCCCGAAGCTTCGGCTTACTCATTTGTCACGATACTTAGATATATTTAGTTACTTTGGTAGAATATTCTAGATACTTTTCGTAGTATATAAGGAGCTCATTAGGAGCTCTAGTAGCAAATAATTTAGTATTATACCTACTGCAAGCCTCCCACTGCAATAATTCCAACATAGATAATACATGTTTATACTGTAGGAGCTAGAGGAATTACGTGTATGTTGTGAAGATCAGATACGAAAGAGGGATGACGATATATAGTGCATAGGTATAGGGTATAGGATTCCCGACCGGTATATCAGTAAATAATTGGTGCAGCACCTTAATCAAGCGTTCAGAGCATCATTAAGAGAAATCCAGGTAAGGGAACAATGAAAGAGTCGGCAATGAGAGCAAGATCATAAAGACATGAAAGATCCGGGTTGCCTAAAATCAAGATGTCATATCAAAGATAAAGCTGCCGGAAGTGGTCTAAAAAAAGACAAAGAAGTTGCCCTTTGCTGAGGGCCACTCTGCCCTTAACTTTAGTGCGCGCCTATTTGATTAACTCAATTAAGCGCTCAGAAAAATCTTTAATTTTCTAGCCTTGGTATCAGACGATATTGGAACAGCGTTTCCACTCGGGTACTTAAAAGGACTCAAGTTTGGAGCACAAGTTGAGGAGACTCAGTTGCTATCTCCGAGTCATCCTCACATGTTTCCCTCAGGCTTCAACAACAGCACTCATCCAATGTCTCCGGCACTCCTACCGTCCCGAAAACGATGCATCCATGTCACTGACAACATCCAACAATGTCAGTGTCCATGGTTCGCGTCGCCTCTGTTGGACCCGGTAGGCGCCTGTTCACCTTCACTTATTCCCCTGCTCATGTTCTTCTAGTACATCTGCAGTCAGTGCAGACATGGCATTCACATTCATGTTGACTATTTCTCCATGTTCGTGAATCATTATCCCCCGACTCAGTGCGCTGCGTATGTTCAAAAGGTATGCTCCTCCTTATTGTGTACGGTAGCTTGAACTCACCCTGCATACGCTATAGACGCCTTTGACACAGTGTTGCACTTGTGAAACTTGGCTTGCAGATCATGTCGCTATCAATAACCTGTTTCGTCATGCGGAGCCTTGGAAGGTGTTAGACAATTTCGCGGGAAATAATGACACTTCTCATAGTCTCGACGTGATCAACTTTTTCAACGATGCCGTCAACGATACATTCACACCATCCGCCAATTCCGATACCGACACCTTTTATCACGACGCGAACCCCACCCCGATCACTGCTGCACCTACTTTCCCCCTCAGTGCTCACCATCCATCACGCCCTTACAATGATGCGGGCAACATCCCACTCGCTCCATCCTCGCCCTCTCCTTCGGCCAGTAACACCCCATCCGGTATTCAATCAGATGACACTCAGGCCCAAGGGTATCACTCAGACCATTACTTCGTTCGATACCCGGACCATTTCATGAACAATCCCTATGCTCATCAGCCAGACGGCGGTGCCACGGGGGGGAGTTTCGAGCATCACTACTATTCGCCAAACACGATGCACGGTGCGACGCCTGAGGCTGGGTCGGACCCGTATATCTAGTCCATGACTACGACAGCTTCCTAATTTTTTCTTCCATTCTCCTAACCCTCGGTGTGCCCACTCCTAGTTCGTGTACTCATCCTCTTCCTGTCTGGGCATCGACGACCATCCAAAACAGCATCCAATATATTGCTCGCGTGGTATTTCTTATTCTTATTTTCTTCCGGCTCGACCCTTCCTTCACCCATCGTCACCCCATTGTTGTACAAATTCCCTAGTTTGTTGATTGCTGTCTCTAGTTGCTATCTTTCTTTTCCTTTTCTATGTTTTCCCTCGGATCCTTTGCTTTGGCCTACAATTCATGACCATTACGATTTTTACTTTTGTTCGTTGTCGAAATGTTTTATAATCAAATTGTTTTGGTGTTTATATGATTATTATCTGAGTGAGCGCCTGATGTGTCCAACAAACCTGGGAATTCATGCGCCACATTTTCTTCAAGTTTTTATTCCGAGTGGCCCTAATTTTAGATAATACATGATGATACTGTGATAGTCGCAAGAATTACGTATATGTTGTGGAGATTAGCGCAAGATAAGAGAGGAAAGATGATATACAGTGCATAGGTATGTGGTATATAGATGGTACTTAAAAGGACGTGAAGAGGGCAATGCTCTAATCACAGTCCAGCGGTTTAATGCAGGACATCCAACAATTTATCCTTATGCCAGACAGTCAGCGAGGGAGCAGGAGGCAGACGACGAAGGACAAACCTTTTCCTCCTCTATATCACAGAACATCGTACATGGCTCGCGCTGGTCCTTGAAATCAATAGCAAAAGAGTTGGGTATAGCCTTGAGTTCTTGTAGTTGTAGTAAACAACGACATGACTTTGCCATCGACAGGATGCGTCGTTTGTTTAAAAAAACCAGATAGCATAGTACTTCCAAGAGAGGTGTGATGACGGTTTCCATTCAGCAGATACGAAGGTATCAAGTAAATAGGACTGGAATAGGTATCGTGGTGATGGATGTTCCAGCGTAGGGAGGAGACGAACAGTACAGTCGCAAGAGCAAGAGCAAATATGTTAAGGATTAGGGTAATTTGAGCTAATACCCGAAGTAATGAATACTCAAGTAAAACCCGAGTTGTGAGCGAGGATGTCCGAAAGCCGAGTTCCAACCACCAAGAGGGATCCGTAAGGGTGTTAACAAGCGCTGGGCGTAGTCGGGAAGCAATTGATTGGCAAGCGCTTGGCGTAACCGATCAGAGATGCTTAGTTCACACAATTAAGTGGACTTCGAAGATGAGTAAAATTAGCTTGAGATTCTAATACAATGGCAAGTACAATACTTATATACCACTAGTAAGGAATTGAGTCATTATTATTCTAGTATTGTAAAGAAAAAAGGGAGAAAGTAAGAGAAAGTAAGAGAAAATGAGAGAAAATACCAGTAAGCCGAGGTCAAGGCCGAGAAGGCCGAGAGTAGGCATGTGTTGACTCATGTACAGACCGGAAAAGACGTGAAATCCATGACAAAATATCCTCTGCGTAAAAGATGGGAAAATCGACGCCGACGCCCTTTCCGCGAGTGAACGATTATGCTCTCGTCTCCGCTCTGTATCAAGGAAGGAGGGACTCGCAGGATTTCGAGAGTTCTATTGACCGACCAGCAGAAGAGGCGAGGATGGATGTGGCAGAGTCGAGCAATGCGAGGCACTTATTATCTCGGGACCATAGTCAGAAGCGTGTCGTGTTCCGAAGCGTAGGCTATATCGGATGCAGCACGTCCAAGTTAATCCTCCGACAAAGACTTTGCGAGGAATTTTACAGTGAGCCCTGCTTCGCGGGTGCGGTGAATAATGGCACGACGTCTGTCGTTTAATAACACCAGCCCGTATAGGCCCCGAACGATGGCATAGTACTTCCGAGCGAGGTGAGGTAACAGTTTCCATTTAGTGGATACGAAGGCATCAGGTAGAATAGGTATCGTGGGGCCAGAGGAAGGTGGTGGAGAGAAGACGAACGGTACGGTTGAGAAGAACGAGCATCCTCTGCATAAAAGACGGGAGAAAGTCATAAATTCAGAGTCGACGCCCGGAATGCACATGCTGAGACTGTGCCTAGGTTTTCATCCATAAGATATGACAAAATATTAAGAGTCCGTCACCGTTCGAAGTAGAGATATAACTCAGCGTGTAATCCAAGGATGTAGGCGAGGCAGAGATGCACACATCCTTCCTATAGATACAAGGACCGTGTCTAACTTGTAAGCAAATTATGAAGTACCCAGTCAGAGGAGCGAGTAAGCATCCATGTAGGGAGGAATATCGAGAACCCAGGAACGCTCGGGTACATTGTAAAACAACGGCCACGATATGGGTTTAGTCAGAAGAGCGACTTGGAGCGTCCTATTCAAGATGACTGTCGAGGAATCCATCGGAGAGGGGTGATGCCTGAGCTGAGATTGTGCCCAGGGGACGATTTCTATGCAGACGTCCCTGGACAAGCCGTACTAAGTATATCAGGGGTGGTCGATAAGATTGGGGTATGTGGGAATTTGCAGTCGAGGACGAACGAAGAGTCATGTTTGACGAACGGTGCTATAACTTGAAATCAGCATCAGCTGTGAGCTATGAGAGAGTCAGGTCCTCTCCATGGATGTGAGGAATACAAACCCTATTGTCTGTAACCACACTTTGAACGAGCATCGAGTTGTTGAAGAGAGACAGGCAGATGTCGTGGCAGGCTGATAGAGCGCAAGAGCTTCTTCTCCCAATTGTACGTCGGCAATTCCCCGGCTGTCGAATCATCAATTAATTTGGTTCTTGAATCTGCACCAGATGAATGGTTGTCATCGTGCATAACACTACCTCTTTTTGAAAAAATACTCTTTCCTTGTTGTGACTCTGTATTTCTAGGACCAGATGGCGGACGATACCCTGGAGGTGGTGGTGGTGTTACCGGCGCCAGGTCCCAATAAGGAACGGCCGGGTCCACAGCCTTGACATGGCGAACCATGTGCTGGAGGGAGGAAAGGCAACCACAGCATCGACGACGATCTCCCGCCCCCAACGCCGCCCAAAGATAACTTGCTCGCACCACCCAACTACAGATTCCATCCCCCGCCGATGCACAGCTACTCACTCGGCGTCGCCTCTCGCTCACGCATGGACATGCCCGAACGATGGAGGAGCGTATCCGAGTTTGCCATCATCTCGCACCACGACCACGACCAATCCTGGCCTGAATCCGACGAATCGTCAGTCATGGTCGAGTGTCCCCCGAGTCCCATTGTTCCAGTACCGCTTGCAGGAAAGTGCAACCCTGCAGAGACGACGGTGATTGCTGACCCTGCTGAGCGTGCGCCCAGGAGACTGGTGGCGCGGAGACAGCGGGAACTGGAGGAAGCAGAGGCTGCGCGGGAGGAGGAGGAGCGGCGGACGGGGATACGTCGGGTGAAGGAGGAACAGAGGCGCGTGGAGGAGCAGGAGGAGAGAGACCGCCGTACGAGGATTGAGCGGGATATGCGCATGAGCACAGAAGCTAGGCGACGCAAGAAGGAAGCCGAGGAGAGAGCCGAGGAGGAGAAGAAGCGTGAGTTGGCGGTGAGGGGCGTGAGGGAGAGGGAGAAGCGTCTTGAAGAGCATCGCCGGTTGGAGCAATGGCGTGCGGAACAGGCGAGGATCAAGGAAGAAGAACTCAGGAGAGAGGAGGCTGAGAGGGCGAAGGAGCAGGCCGAGCGCAACAAGAGGGTAGAGCAGATGGCGGCCCGGGTCAAGCGGGATAAAACAGGAAGCATGCTCGCCGGCTGGGCTACCATCCAGACCATTAGCACGAGCAGCGACAAGGGCAGGGCAGTAGAGGGGATGGCGTGCAGGGAGGCGGGATGCGTTGACGTGGTGCGCGGTGTCGAGTGACATGGCTGTGCGTACGTGCACTTGCTTCAGGTTGGCTACGCGCTCTAGATACAAAAATAAAACATTGTATTATATACACACCATTACTGAATCCAAATCTAGCTTTAGTTCTATTTGAATCCTCCACCAGTACAAGATACATCCAGTCCGGACTGAAATTGAAGGTCAGAGGGTCGTAGCCGGACACAGAAAAGAGTAGACTTACCCTCCGTGCACGCATGTGCACATATCCTCCCTCCCGCGTTATCTTCCTCCTACCGCCATGTTCCAGACCTTGCTCACCGGACGACCATACGTCGTCTCGAGCCAAAATTCCCCCAAGGAAAAGCTTCGACTCGTTCGATACGTCCGTGGAGGTCGTCTCTCAAAGAACAAGTCGTGTAGCTGACGCTACAGAGGGGTGCCGGTGAGTCCTTGAGCTAGAGATGGTGAATGTATGAACTTACAATTTCTGGCGTAATAGCCTCCCACGTCACCCTCCATTTCACCATCTTTCTCATGCTTGCTTCACCCCGTCTTCACGCCTGACCTTGTTCGCGGGATAACGATCCGTCGTCTCGAAACAAAATCCCAGTTTCCTGGCGTACAGTCCGTATCAGCGTCTCAACAACCTAGGCGCGTCATCCATATCAAGTGGATGAGGACATGGAGGAGAGGGACCAACACCGATCTCTGCGGAGGGTGAGGACTCCTTAGTGCGCACGAGAAGTGAGAAGACCTACCACTCTTCGGTCTTCATCCGCATCCCCGTACACCTCTCCGTCCACCACCGTTGCCCCCGCAATAATTCTCGTCCTCAAATTACCCTCTTGACTCGACCATGGTCTTCACACTGAGCCTTTTCGTGGATCCTGGACTTGTAGGGAGTCAGTAGCTTGAACGTCATATCTGAAAACGGAGGACATACCCTCCAGTTCGCACTCCACCCTTTACCGGTACCATCGGCATATACTTCTCTCCCACATACTCGTCGACTCCATCGATTTCCGGGCAGGCGACCACGTTCGCAGAGTCCGTCGTACAAGGATGGCGGCAGTAGTCTATATCTAGGACCCTCTTCAATGATTGCGAGAGTCTGCTCGTTGTTAACATTTATTTGCTTATCACAAGTTTCGACTAGCAAATGACTGGGATCGCGGAGACCTTGCTGGCAAGGTAATGGAAACTGCGGCTGGGAGCTGAGCAGGATTGACATTCGAAGATGACGGCTGATATTACCGAAGAGTTCGGAAAACGGACCGACAGTGAAATTCCCACGATTCTCTTTCCTCTCATATGTACCAGACTCGACGTGCTGGCGCCCCATTCAAGGCAATCGGCACTATGCCAAATCGAATCAGCTAATCAAGCAACAGTATGTATCGTCTTTCTACGAGAGACTAATAGACGACCCACAATGGAGTTTTTCTGATGATGCGATGCGTTTCCTTCGCAGGTTCTTTGACCTGCTGTCCTTTTCCATAATCCGCGACCATCCATTGGGCTGCATATTTTTTGTGGTGCTGGGAAGAATAGTCACGATGGACTGGCACGGATCATCTCAATTCTGAAGTCTTACTATCTCCCCGTAGTCTCTAAATACTCCCCGATGATGACTGCAAGGCCTGTAAACCTGCGATAGCCAATTGAATGCAGGCTACATAGTAGTGTTGGATGCAGAGGTGTGTATCACTTTTTCATGTAAGAAGTTGCGAAGTTCATTCTCAGGACACATGGGTAGAAAAGGAAGAAAATTTGTTGGCAACCACCTCCCGTCCTTATGCGTATAACTCTCAACTGCATCGATTGCATCCGAGACCGCTTGCAACTATCAGTTTCTCTCCCTACCGCAGGACGAACAAGCGCAGTATTGAAGCCGTAACCCAGTATTCAACTCTATAAAGGTAGATACCCACTCCGATTCCCATCCTGGTGATGTTTCTCGGGGCTATAATCCGAAGGCTGAGAGAACGTGTGCTGGAGAGGCGGAGGGGATGGATGCTTATCCGGCTCTCCCTCGTATCCGCAGATCTTTCGCCATTAGTTTGATGATTCTCATCTAACAAAATTTCCGTTTCGACTCATTGCTTTGTTCTAGTATTGCGCTTATAACACGCTATTCCAACCGAGTGTTGATTACAGTGTTTGGTGTTCATTGTTTAACATCGAACTGCTGCGTCCCATCCTTTCCTGTCCTTTTGGGGCTGACTTACGATGCCCCTGTCGCAGATTCTATAGAGATTCGTTCCCACAACTCGAGGATGCAGGGAAGAATCAAGATGAACATACATCGCGACACTCGAAATGCGGATTTTCATCTCGTTCGGGCCATTCTCTTTCTTTCCTCGGGTTTCTTTTGCGAACGATTTCGTTGAGAACGAGAACGGCTGACCAGATTTGGAAGCTCGTTCGACTGGGTCGTCTGGGTTTGGTAGTCGGCTTGCTATCTTGGGCAGTGAATCACGCGAAAGCACCAGAAGCGTACCACCTCCAGCACTCCTCCAAATGTCGTACCAGTCTCTTCACGTTGCCTACTGCATATTACAGAGGATAGTGCACCCGGGTTACTAATACTCAAAGCTATTAGTGCCCGTGCTTCACTCTTCCTTGCACGGCGGTCTTGTACCTCCAGGTAAGAACACCCATCCAGTCCTTCTCTCCTCCCTAACCACACCATCGTAGTTCGAGTGCTACATGCAACCATGACATCCACTCGCATGCTGACAAGTGTCGATGCTTGTAAGTGTACTCCCGCCCGCCAACAGGGTACGCAGCATTTTCCCAAACGGTGCGCTGTTTTCCTTCAAGTCCGTTCGCGGGCTGACTTTTGGACCTAGACGTACACGAGTCAGGGATGTACATGTTCGGTGGATCTTGCCGATCACGCCGTTGGTCCTAATCCGCTTCGTCCCAGTGCTGTGAATACATGACGTTTGTATGGATAACTCTCAATAGCAAAGATATATTGATAAGCGCGTTCATCAATTCTCCGTCAGCCATATATCTTACACCATTTGTGGGAACGGTGATAAGAAGTTATCACGGTTTCATCATATATTATACAAAGACGAGGGCCACTTAGATTAAGAAAAAAACATGGCACATGAATCCCAAAGTGATCGGGCGTGCTGGCTCCATGGCGTACACTCAGATGATAATATAAAAACTCCAAAGCAATTCGATTATAAAACATTTCGACAGCAACCAAAAGTAAAAATCGTAATGGACATGAATTGTAAGCTGAAGCAAAAGATCCAATGGAAAACATAGAGAAGGAAATGAAAGATAGCAACTAGAGACAGCAATCAACAAACTAGGGAACTTGTACAACGATGGGGTGACGATGGGTGAAGGAAGGGCTGAGTTGGAAGAAAATAAGAATGAAAATATACCTTGTGAGGGATTTTTTGGATGTTGTCATGGATGCGCGTCGATGCCCAGATAGGAAGGGGATGAGTACGCGAACTGGGAGTGGGCGAGCCGAGGATCCAGAGAATGAAAGAAACATCTAGGAAGCTATCACGGTCATGGACTAGATGTACGAGCCCGACCTGGCCTCAGGTGTCGCACCATTCGCATTTGGGGAACGATACTGATGATCGAAATTCTCACCCGTCGCACCACCGTCTGGCTGATGAGCATAGGGATGGTCCATGAAATGGCCTGCGTATTGAACAAAGTAATGGTCTGAGCTATAAGCTTGGACCTGAGCGACATCCGATTGAATACCGGATGGGGTGTGACTGGTCGAAGGAGAGGGTATGTATGGAGCGAGTGGAATGTTGCCTGCATCATTGTAAGGGCCAGGGGAGAAAATAGGCGCAGTATTGATCGGGGGTGAGGTTTGCGTCGCGAGAAAAGGTGTCGGTATTGGCATCGGAATTGACGAACGGCGTGAATGTACTGTTGACGAAGGTCGTTGGAAAAGCTGATCGCGTCGACACTATAAGAAGTGTCATTATTTCCCGCGAAATTGTCCAACACGCTCGACGGATCCGCATGACGAAACAGGTTATTGATGGCGACGTGATCGCAAAGCTGAGCTTCACATGTGCAACGTTGTGCAAGAGGCGTCTATAGACAACACAGCGTGAGTTCTAGGGATCGTGTGGAATGAAGAACAACGCACCTTTTGGACATACGCAGCACACTGAGTCGGGGGATAATGATTCACGACCATCGAAACGTAGTCGACATGGGCGTGAATACCGTGTCCGCACTGGCCACAGATGTACTGGAAGAACATGAGAACGGGAATATGGACAAAGATGGACGGGAGCCTACCGGGTCTAACAGAATTGAGACGAACCATGGACACTGACATTGTTGGGTGTTATCAGTGATATGGATGCATCGTTCTCGAGACGGTAGGGACTGCTGAAGACATTGCTGATTGGACGAGTGCCGGTGGTATGCAAAGATGCAATGGAAATTGAGATTCATCTTGCTGCACTTTATGTAAATAATAGTCGACAAGGTAGATGCGGCAAGAAACACTGCTTGCAAAGTTAGGAATATGCCACCGGCATGATCGCCCTTTCAGATCTGAGCAATCCGCACAGCCACCCATAATCGATGCAATTTGTCATCGATAACGGCGACAAGGGTCGAGTGACGTTACGTCACAAGTGATACCCACGATTGTTATGGGTGGCTGTGCAGAGTATAGTGGTCCACTAAGTGGTTCTGCCGACTTCCAAGCGCATCGGCAGCCTATTTTCGCGGTCAACACTGGTCACGTTCAGAAACACAACCCAATTCACACTTCTTAACATCTGCTGTATCTACCTCTAGTCCATTATATAAGTGTACCGATATGAACCTCGATTTCCATGGCAGCCCTCATTCAATCATTAATGTCTTCTGTAGTCCTACCGTCTCGAGAACGATGCATCCATATCACTGACAATACCCAACAATGTCAGTGTCCATGGTTCGTGTCGCTTCCGTTAGACCCGGTAGGCTCTCGTCCATCTTCACCCATATTCCCGTGCTCACAATCTTCCAGTACATCTGTGGCCAGTGCGGACACGGTATTCACGCCCATGTCGACTACGTTTCGATGGTCGTGAATCATCATCCCCCAGCTCAATGTGCCGCGTATGTTCAAAAGGTATGCCCCTCCCTACTGTGCACGGTAACTTGAATTCACGCTGCATACATTATAGACGCCTCTTGCACAACGTTGCACGTGTGAAGCTCAGCTTTGCGATCACATCGTTGCCGATAACGCATATCGTATTGGGGAGCCGTGGAACGTGTTGGACAATTCCCGGGGAAATAATGTTGCCTTTCATGGTGTCGACGTGATCAACTTTTCCAACGACATCGTCAACAGTACATTCACGCCGTTCGTCAATTCCAATGCCAATACCGACACCTTTTCTCGCGACGCGAATCTCACCCCGGTCACTGCCGCACCCATTTTCTCCCCCAGTCCCCGCCATGCATTTAGCCCTACCGATAATGCAGGGAATATTCCACCCCCTCCGCCCACGCCCTCTCTTTTGGCCAGTAGCACCCCACCAGGTATTCAATCGGATGTCACTCAGGCCGAAGGTTATAACCCAGACCATTACTTCGTCCAATACCCAGGCTATTCCATGGACAATCCCTATGCTCATCAGGCAGACGGCGGTGCGACGGGCGAGAGTTTTGGTTATCAGTATCATTCACCACACACTGAGGCTGGGTCGGACCCGTACATCTAGTCCATGACCGCGATAGCTTCCTACAAATTTCTCACATTCTCCGGATCCTCGGAACGCAATACCAGTCCATGTACTCTTCCCCTTCCTATCTGCGCATCGACAACCATCGAAGATATCCAATAGATTTCTCAGGTGGTGTATTCTCATTTCTATATTTTTTCGGCTCGACTCTTTCTTTACCTATCGTCACCCCACTATTGCTGTTGCTTAAATTCTCTAGTTTGTTGATTGCTGTCTCTAGTTGCCGTCTTTCTTTTCCTTTTTCTATGTTTTCCCTCGGATATTTTGCTTTGGCCTAACAATTCATGTTCATTACAATTTTTTACTTTTTGTTGCTGTCGAAATGTTTTATAATTGAATTGCTTTGGTGTTTCTATGATTATTATCTGAGTGAGCGCCCGACGCGTCCAATAACTCTGGGAATTCGGACGCCATGTTTTCTTCAAGTTCTTATTCTGAGTGGTCCTCGTTTTAGAAAATACATGATGATACTATGATCTACTTCGTAGCTCTCAAACTGTTGCTCCTGTGCGCTTGCTTGGATTTGTTAGGCAAACCACCTCTCGTATCTTGAGAACATACGACTCGGATTACAAAAGCATTCAAGTCAAGCGTATCTAATTTTATCCCGCCCTCACATTCCTCACATCCTCGAGGGTCGCGTAAAGAACTTCACGGCGAGACAGTTTGAGCGTTACTAGTACAAGAAGTACGTGTATGTTGTGGAGATCAAAGTAAGATACCAAAGAGGGATGATGATATACAGTGCATAGGCATGTGGTATAAAGATAGTAAAAGGACGCGAAGAGGGCATGTTCCAATCACAGTCCAGCGGTATAATGCAAAACACCTAACAATTTATCCTTATGACAGGCGGTCAGCGAGGGAGCAGGAGGCAGGCGAACGACAAGACACACCTTTTCTTCCTCGGTATCACAAAACATCGCACACGGCCCACGTTGGTCCTTGAATTCAATAGCAAAAGAGTTGGGTATAGCTTTGAGTTCTTCGTAGCCGTCGTTCCACTCTTTGAGTCCGTTGAGTTTTCCGCGGAGTTGGATTTGATCAAGGACTTGGTTCATGTCCTGGTTTTATGAGAAGGCGAGCCGAAGAAATGAAGTGATAGGCTTACCTTGGGACTGCGATAGAAAAACATGGTATCGCCGATAAACTTGTAGTACCTCCTCGCCAGACAAGGGAGTCGTTGATCTGAATGGTAGCCCAGCCGGTGAGCATGCTTTCTGTCTTATCCCGCTTGACCCAGGCCGCCATCTGTTCTACCCTCTTATTGCGTTCGGCCCGCTCCCTGGCCCTCTCAGCATCCTCTCTCCTAAGCTCTTCCTCCTTGATCCTTGCTTGCTCAGCAAGCCACTGTTCCAAACGGCGATGCTCCTCCGAACGCTCCTCCCTCTCCCTCATACGCCTCTCCGCCAACTCGCGCTTCTTCTCCTCGGCTCTCTCCTCAGCTTCTTTCTTGCGACGCCTAGCCTGTGCCCATGCGCATATCCCGCTCAATCCTCGCACGCCGGTCCCTTTCCTCCTGCTCCTTCACGCGCCTCTGCTCCTCCTTCACGCGACGTATCTCCGCCTGCCGCTCCTCCTCCTGCGCGCACACTCAGCAGGGTCAGCAATCACCGTCGTCTCGACA